TTGATGAACCTACCTATTATAAATATTGAATCATCGAGCACCTCCAGAATTTTTATTACAACTCATGCTTCAAAAGGTATCATGTAATCACCAACTCTGTACAACGTATTCGAAATCCTTACCCTCTATCTTTCTTTTTCAAAATAGAAGCAGGAAGGAGTTAAATGTGATAATAAATAGCAATATTTATAGTCCAGTGATCTGGTAAGGGCAGTGGTAAAAAGCAATTTGCAAACAATATAAATTGATAAAACAGTGTCATGTGCGTTTTTTGCATTTCATATCAAGAGCTCATCATCAAAAATATCTCAGATTGATGATTTGGTTGTCTAAAATGTGGATTTCACCTTCACTTCAAATTCTCCAAATTCATCCAATTTTGAACATGAATATTCACGATGTTCTCTGAACATTACAGGATATCCCTTTTCGTGGGAACCAGAACATAAAAAAAGGCATTATCATTGAAATATATTCTGATACCTAATGCATCCAAAAACTGTTTGTTTTCAGTCCTCTAGTCCTCTGAATAATGGCTTTCGAATGAAGTGCAAAAATCCAAACAGACCGTGATATGCGTTAAAATCTCCGCTTTAAATCTCGATTCGGCTAACAGGTGCGTACAGGGTGGTAGCTGCCAGCTCGCCCCTTCTGCCCGTAAACACCGCCATTCACCGCCATCCCCATACCTTACCACCCCTTCTGGGGTGGCTCAGTTTGACTCTCGGCCACTACAGAAAATATTACATCTGAAGTACGGGTTGTTCGCGTGTGTACACCCCCAGTCCTAGTCGGTGGCTATTGTCGAAAATGGCACATATAAATACAACTACTGTTATATGGCACAGGGCACAGGGATGGACTATTCGGTATAGGTACTGTCCATTTCCAGATGTTCTTGGGGTATCAAATTGAAATTCATAGGGCAATTGTAAATGTATGAACTTTACATACATTCATAAAACACGACAAGTTTCGATGAGGCAGCAGCTACCTCCTCTCCCTATTCTCCCTAGGTACGCAATATGTTCTTGGAATATCATAGGAATTTCATTTCGTGTGCTCTAAGAGATAAAAAAAGGTTCTTGATGAATATTCAATGAATTAACCTAACATTTACTTGCCTAGTTTATACAGGGGTGTCCCGAAATTACATAGAAATATTTCAAACACATCAGATTCTAGGAATAAAAATAGTAAAAAAAGTTTATACAAATAAACATGAGCAAAGAAATGGACCCTGGGGAGTAATAGTCCTCTAAAAGAGGACCGAAAACATGTTACTTTTCATGCCTGATTGGAACATCTTTTTTGAATTTTACAAAATTGATCAGCGGTGTAGGAAATAGGTGGGGCTAGGCATTTCTTCCTCCAACTTTTTTTTCTATTCAATTTCCGGCAGTTTTACCAGAAAATATGAAAACATCATGAATTTCACTCAAAAATAATACTAAAAGTCTGCTGCGTAACAAAAATAGTGCATTTTTCTTATAATGGGTACCAAATTTTCCCAAAAATCCTGTTTCAATGGATAATACCCTTTTTCAACATCTACTTGATGTTTGAATATGAGAGAAATAATGAAAGGAATACATTGAACAATATTATGGTAGGATTTTGGATATACGAAAAATTGATATTCATCACACAGGACGTAGAAAGATTTTTTTTTTGTTGAAAATTTAATTGACAAAATTATAATTCCTTATCACTTGTAGTATCCCGAAGTAAATATAAAATGGAAGAATATAATATGTTACATTTCGAACTAGTATCTTCATGCAAATATAATAGGTAGAAATCAGAAATCTATTATTGGTGCCGAAACTGCGACCTGAACTAAATTTATTCATGAACCTGCAAATCAAATGAACGAATAAATTGAAAAATTATTCAATCTCCAAACACAATCTTTTCTTACCGAATACCACACGAGGTCAAATTATTTCCGGAAATTTTTTCGAGCTCATGGATATTTTGGAAATTATTCCGAGCCGAAGACGTATTACAATTATGGGCATACATATTTATATCTGAAGGAGAATACAAATTCTCAACTTCAGAAGATTTTGTTCTCAAATTCTTATCGTTTATGTTCAATAGATATAATTCAATGTTCGTCGTGGCATATAGCCAGGAAAGTAGTTGTTTTCTGTGGAATAAACCGAGAAAGAATTGATATTTCTATTTTCTAATTTTGACATGTAATGTGACACTTTTCAAAACTGACGGAAGTTTTGAAACGTCTTACTTTACGTAACCAGTTGCGTAAAGTAAAATTTTGGTGATGTAATGTTCATTTCATTCATTCATTTCACACAACAAGAGTCGGCAGAACTCATGTAAAACTGGTCATTATTTTTGTTCATGCGAAATGTTTCGTCAAAATTAGAAAAAATATTGTACGTGACATGTTAGGAAACGCCATTTTGTGTAACTCTGTGATGTAGCGGGATCTCGCTTCGCTCGTCCCGCAAAATCCCATCGTTACACAAAACAACGCGTTTCCTAACTGATTACGTAAATATCTATTAGATAGAGAATGCAAACTCTCAATGTATTTCTTTATCTATACATCAATTTTTTCATGTTCATAATTCATCTGAGAATATTCCTTCTCAATATTATGGTAGGTACCCTATTGAGAGAAAAAGTACTATTTTTTATTACGCAGCAGCAACAGACAACCTGTATTTATTCGATGTTCGGAAGTGTTCCGATAGACCCGTACCAACCATATCGAATAAGCCCCCTCTAAATTATTCAAAGTCCATATTATTTACTTATTATTCAATTTCACAGTCTAAACAAATGACCACCTGTACATCCCGGGGCTATTAACCAACGAAATTTGTCCGAAACATAGCAAACAAATCAAGGCCAATCATCCCGCCGAAAGCAAACAAAATAAAAATAAATCCAGCCCTGTGGCAAGGTACCCCGTAAGACTATACAGGGGCTGTTCCGCTCCGTCGACCAAGGCAAGGCAGCTGCGATTTTGCCGTTCCGTATCGGGGTGTCCTGATTTATTTTGGCTGGTAAGCCAAAAGGCCGGCGTGAAATCAAAATGTTTCCGGTTGTTACTGGAAATTCGTGAATATGTGGAAATTGGAAATACATTGCTCGTGGGAGGAGTAGACTGGGTGTCATTCATTCTTCCATATCGGAATATACTGTTCGAAACGAATTCGACTCAACTAATATTAACATAAATAAATATGTTGTCACAACTGTGGCAAGTTCATGAATTAATTATGGAAACACATTTTCAAAAACAAGCTTTCATGTCATATACATTGAATTGATGGGTTTGTATTAATTCGAAAATGCTTTTTCACTTAAATTTATATTATATTTTTCAGTTATTTGTGGGAATTTTTCTAAGTCTGTTCATTTCATGAATAATGGGTCTACCATCTTGAATTCAAGTTTTTACTCGGCAATCGGCAAACCATTTCATTTGAAACCCATAATATCATGTTAGTATATAAGAATTCAGTGTGATGTTATATTATTTTGCATTCTTCTTAGTAAATCCCTTTAATTGATATTAATTTTGATCGAATCGGACCATAATCTTAAATCTTGTTTTGCCATCTTGAATTAAAATACATTTCGAATCCGCACTTATATTTTTCCTGAACTTGATATATGTTTAAAGTATATTACATTATATTAATTTTCGTCAATATGTATATGATGTTTGCAGAATTAGATCGACTATACTACCAGCTAATTGTTAGATTTCCAATTTCAAGAAGATGGTGAGGGGAGGATTTTAGAAATCTGCTAATTTTTTTATGACTTGAAAAAATTTATTGAAAATATATCTATATTACACTTTCATAATAAATCACCTTGTATACAATATATAATCACATTTCAAAGACTAGATTCATTACTAAATATAGACTTAAGGTTGACTAGAACGAAAATCTTCCATAAAGTGTTTCAAATATTATTAACAATGTATAAAAAATTGCCCAAAGACCTTTTGCATCCAGTCATGATAGAAATAAAATAATTAAACATTTTTTTCAGACGTTTGGTGAGAAAAATCACTCAAATATAATTCTGTGTAAGAATCTGTTCACGCTACAAATTGATCACATGAGTTATTCGCATTGAATGATGGCTAGAAAAAATATCAAGTATATTGAAATAATAAAAAAATGCAGTCACAATTTTTTATATCTTTTGGGAAAGTAATAGCTGACAAATCGAATTATTTCTGCAACTTTTGAAATTTTAATGAAATGTTTCAGAAATATCAAAGGAAAAACACATTCTCAGATGATATTTCATGAATAGTATAGCACCCAAATTGGTTCACAGATTTTATACTCAGAGCGTTTGCTATAATTCCACAGGTATATTGAAATGAAAATATGGAAAAATGAAGATGAAGTTCTCTAAATATAAAATGAACAATGTTACAGCATTTTTGGGACAGATTAGATTTCCACAGGGTGATAATTTTGAACTCCACACTCATATGATTACCAACCCTATTTTTTTCATTCCTGAAAAACTCTCCATTATGAATTCATCACTCTTCACATTCCGATTTACCCAAGAAGATTTGTCATTTCAAAATTCATTGATAAAGGGAAAGGGTGATTGTTAATATTTTACTCAATAGCTATATTAGTCAATATTGGTCTCATAGACACGTTGAAGTGGGAAGTATTGTTTATGGACATTCGTAATCTATTACGAAAAAGCATTATTGTAAACCTAAGAATGTTACAAAAACTGGTATTTTTTAAATGGAACACCCTGTATTTTATTTTTCTAATCGATTAAGCTCTTTCTTTCGTCAGTTTTCCATTATGTTGTTCGAAATCGTTGAAGAGTTATCAATGAAAAAAATGCAAATTCACGCGTTTCTTAGTCATATCAAATAAGCAATTTGGAATATCGTCTTCAGAAATAAGTGTGGAATTCAAAAACCTCATCCCGTTGATTAGGCACTGTACGTTTGAATTAGGCAAAACATTTCATCCTTTCATAAAATTGCTGTAATCAAACCCCACATTGAAATTATTATTATTACCATAATGTCCATAAGTCCCGTCACAATATTGCTCGTAACCATGTGCTTGATAGGGCACAACCTCATTACCGTAACTAATTCTCTGGAAAGAACCAGCGAAACAACTAGTATCCTGGCCAGGACTAGAAACCACACCCTCATTATAATCCTGCATGAAACTAGCATTGGTGATGCTGCCGCTCGTCACCACAGCATTCCCGAGCTTCTGCTCGAAATTCTTCGCCGTGATGCTATTACCATGCTTGCTAATAGACACAGTAACGTTGCCCACATTGACCGTTATCTCTTCCTCGGAATTCGAAAACTTTTCGATGTCATTCGCCGCTTGGGAAAGGGCATAGATGTAGTTGTGTGCGAAGCGCAAGGTCTCGATCTTGGTGAGCTTGGTGTCCTCTGGAAAAGTTGGCAAAACGCAGCGCAGTCGCTCCAGAGCCTCGTTTAGCATATGCATCCTGTTCCTTTCTCTGTCGTTCGCTTTAATCCTGCGCACTCGCTTTATCTTCTGGATCTGCGAAGGGCTTTTTGCTCTGGATACCCTGTTGCGACCTGTGGCGTACTTACGCTTGGGTTTCTCTTTTGCTGGGGTAGAAGTTTTGGATTCATCACTATCGAGGTGCTGGTAGAACTCGACCTCTTCTTGGTCGCTGAAGAGGCTTCTTCTGCACGAGCTTTCCCTCCAGTTGGGTTGGGTTCTTGGGATTCGCGATGGTTCCTCCAAGCTGGTATAGAAGGCTGTGTTGAATCTGTCGTAGAGGGCTTGGTTGAAGTTTTTGGGGTGTTTCGGCGGGGTGGTTTCGTTGTCCAGGTCGAAGTAGTCGCTGCGATCGTCTGTGAATTCCGAGGATTCTGATTTGAAGGAGACTTCGAAGCCGGAGTCGCAGCTGTCTTCGTAGGAGAGGTCGCTGAAGGTCATTCTTTCGAAGTGGGACATCCTAGGGAAAATAATGAAATTTATAGTGGGCGAGGTTCAGCATCATGTCAAAGTCGACTAGATGACTTTGACAATAGTAAGAATAGTAGTAAGGACTGGAGAGATGCCCTTATTATAATGAATATTGTTCATAATATTCAGATTGTCTCGTGAATACTTATATCAAGTTAAACTCGAGGAGAATATAGATTAAAAGGAATACCTACCTACTACGAAAAACTCATTCAAAATTCTTACTATTTTCAAGAGTTAGAATCAATTTTTTCTATGCTATTGGTCCAATTTCAGACTTTTCTAATTCAGTGTATGATCAAATGACAGTCAAGTAGTTTAATCACATTCTGTTATTGCTGCTATGGTAGGAATACAAATATGTTGAGTGTTCCATCAGATGGAATATAGTACAAAGTTATTTTTTATCCAGAAAAAAAATTGCGGAAGTTGATTGCCGCAATGAGATCTTTCCACGCCTCTTATTTAATATCACAAAAAATCTATCCTATTTTTTTAAGTTATATTTTCATATCATAATACATCATATTATTCTATTCGATTTGAGAGATAATGTCAATAATTTCAGAGGATTTTGATTTTTCGTGCTCTCTTTTTGGATATTCAACAGATATAATTCAATGTTCGACGTGGCAAATAGCCAGGAAAGTAGTTGTTTTCTGTTGAATATTCAGAATGATATTATCTTTATATGAAGGAGATTGCAAATTCTCTATTTCAGAAGATTTTGTTTTCAAATTCTTATCGTATGTGTTCAATAGATATAATTCAATGTTCGTCGTGGCATATAGCCAGGAAAGTAGTTGTTTTCTTTGAATAAACCGAGAAAGAATTAATACTTTCATCACATGGAGAATGCGATTTCTTTATATACATATCCATTTTTTTGTGTTCCTAAATATATCTGAGAATATTCCTTTTCAACTATTTGATACATTTTTTTTACACATGACACAGCCTGGTTTTTAAATTTTTTTCGAAACCTGCGATATATTGTGAAGTTGCATTGTGAAATTTGCATAATCCAAAATTATTTGTATAGGGATCACCCTGTAGAACGTCTAATAAGTGAAGTGAAGAGAGAGGCATCATTGCGGCATTCAACTTTGTGAATTATTGTGTTGTCTTAGTGATAAAATAACGTCCTGTAAAATTTCTTCACATTCTATTGTTGAGCAAATGTTCTTATAATATCACAAAATTTTTTCATTTGTTACATCATGTCACATGTAAGAACACAAGATCTCAATGTTGAGAGAAAATCAAAACGATCTGCTTCGGTACAAAATATGGTGGATTTGATGTCTCCGCCGCCAGAATTTAAAGTAATCAATTGAATTCCAATGCTGGTAAAATTGGATGAATAAAAGGATATTTCAACCGACAATTAAACTACTACCGAAATGAAGTAACTCGAATTCTGGCACATATGGCCAATATGAAAATTCATGAGATAATTCGGTATGTTGTTTATTTGGTAGGAATTTCTATGTTCAATTATGGCATCAGATAATACATTATTTTTGTTTTGTTTCTGTAATTCATAGCGAAAAACTGAATGGATTACCAAAGTTTTGATTCTCTGAATTAGCATCATGGAAATCACCAGAGTTCAATTTATATTGACTTTCAACAAAATTGCAATGTCCTGTATAATGAATTTAGAATGAACAGGCTTTATCCAATCATTTTATGTTTGCTGTCGATATGATGCAGTATTTGCTCACGTTGATACTTTCCATTGTCATCAGGATATTTTGGGAAACGAGAATCTATTCAGGATAAAAAACCGTTTCGACTGAATATTTTGATGAAAGTTTTCGAATGGATATACATGTGGATTACTTGTCGATTCTACAAAGCATTTTAATGTTTTTATAATTCGATGATTCTTTCATTATTGATGGAATATCAAACATTATATTCTCTTTGAATGCATATCTTAACATGAAACAGTGAACAGGTAATATCAGATTTCTATGAATATAGTTAATCTCTTTGAAACATATTCATGAACAATTATTTGACAAGTATTTTACAAAACAATATTGTTGGTTTAAGCGATTTAAATGGTATACATCATTAACAAAATTCTCATGGATTTCGTGATTTTAACAACTGATTTCTAGTAACACTGAGCTTGGTTAATTATTTTCCATCCAGAATTAAATATGAATACAAACATTTCCCAAAATTGAGCTAGTTTAAAGAGTTAAATTATCCATTGAGTTTAATTAATTCCAGAATTCATATTCATTGAAAATAGTCATTTTTGCATTATAAATTCGATCGCACATTTTTTCCATGATATTAGCTTCCAGAAATATACAGAGTACTGGATGTATACCTAACACTATTGGAATACGTCGATCATTTTATTGAATCTGATGATATTTGATATACTGAATAAAATCTGCTGACGCTCCATATTCGAATGATCGTGGAAAATATTTTGAATTCTTCTGATTATTTTTCATCATTAAAATAGTTATTGATGTATCAAGTGCGTAAGGTAGGCATTTATGGACCCGATATAGGTCCATAAAAGCAAGTTACGCCCGAAACACATACAGATTTTATGCACGACCCTCTCAGACATTAATTTACTGTCAATATGGAATTTATTCATGATTTTGAATTCATTTGGCCAAATTATATGTATGCCACTGGCGAAGCAAGATTGAATGGTAGTCTACTAGAAGAGAATGGAAAAAGTGAAATTACGTTACCGCCCAATCATCTACTTTACCTCCCGCCGTATTCCTTTATCGCCCTTGGGTGCTAAAGAGCCACTTCACGTCCGGTCGTGCATAAAAAAATATTTTCGCATCTTCATGATTCCAAGAATGTTTTCAATAATATTCTGTTCACACAAAAACAAACAAACAAAAGAGTATTTAATACTTACTTTCTACAGGTAGGTTTATCGTTTAAATCCGATCGGGATCCAAAAATCACGTGCACATGGCTGATCTCGTGGCACACATACACTCACAGACACCAACCGAGAGTTATCACAACTTTTTTGCGAACTGAATCGTTCGAGGGGTGGGCGAATTTATATGCCTGTGTGCCTCGTGGTTCGGCTACTGGGCCCCTCCAGTTATTAGACCAGCGCGTATAGGGGTCGCGACTAGCAGAGAATTCTGTCCTTCAAAACGTCAAGAAACGTTGAGACCTCTTCACAGAAACAGAAAGTTGAAGGTTACCAGTTATGGGCCATTCATGAACGATATGCACATGGTAACGAATCTAATGACAGATTCATACAACTTTAGCATTTATAGTACTACTACTAAGACCAAGCATAACTGATGGAAGTTGAAACTTGTTGAATACTGTCTGTAGGTTAATCGATGAGGTGGTGCATTCATTATTCCAGATGTGCTGGGATTTTCTCTCCTCGTTTCTATGAAATAAAAATATGAATATTATTTCAATATATTTCAAAATCAGATGATTTGCCCCAAAATGTCTCTGCATTCAAAGATTTCTCCTATCAGAGAGCCTGAAAGAATAATTTACTAGCTTGTCGGTGACAATTTGTATTGAAAAAGGTTCGGAGAAGAGAAATAAAAGTATAAAAAAAATATCAGATTTTCACTTTGCTTTGGACGTTTCGGGAACGAATCTGCTCCCATTTTAATATAGATAGAACATGGTATTCACTACTGAAATCTGAAAATGAAAATGGTGAATTCAAGAATAATTGATGAAAACATCCTGTAACTCATTTGATTGCCAACGTCACCAATTGTCACCGAGAACTGAAAAGTGTCAAGACAAATACGAATTTGCTATTCAAATCTCCATTTTTTATGTTGAAAACGGGAGCAGATTCGTTTCCGAAACGTCTCTCTCAAAGTTTTTTAGAAAATTAGGTTTTACAACACATTTAAAAAACCCATTTTCCGATTTTTATTATCCAAACTAAGCAGATTTGTGAGTAATACTGAAATATATTTGTAGGCTCATAATTAGATTGAGCATTATTATCAATGTGGCGTTATCTGATTGTTATTTATGGTAAACATCATTTTGCACCACTGTTTTTTTTCTCAAGTTCGATATTTTCATTCGTTGAAACAATTGAAGATACAACTGCCAAATGTGAAGCCATACAGAGAAGTGCACAAAAAACAGCTGAAACTGTAACTTTTGAATTATTCGAGATAGGGTTTTGAAAATTAGTAGGTAGCTAGTATATCAAATTGCTCATTAATTGACAAACGAATTTTTGTTCTATTACTTCCGGTTTTACTGGAAACGACCCCGACTTTTTATTTTTAAATGGGACACCCTGTATTGTATTCCATAATCGGTTAGGGATTGTCATAACGAATTCATCGATACCGGGTTCGATAGGGTTATTTCAAACGATTACGCAGATATTCGCGTTCTAAGTTTCCATATGCTCAATGAGTGTGACAGAGAAAGAAGTTTTGATGTTGCGAAGTCACACCTATTGCGCATATGGAAACTTCGAACGCAAATATCTTTGTAATCGTTTGAAATAACCCTATCAAACCCGGTACCGTTGAATTCGTCATGATAATACCTAACCGATTATGGAATACAATACAGGGTGTACCTTTTGAAAATCAAAAGTTGGGGTCGTTTCCGGTGAAACTGGAAGTGGTGGAGGAAAAATTGTTTCATTCATTAATGAGCAATTTGGTATACTAGTTGCCTACCAATTTTCAGAACCCTATCTAGAATAATTCAAAAGTTACAATCCTAGCCGTTTTTTGTGCACTTCTCTGTATATAAGTATAATTTTGTGATTTTGAAAAATTTTCAGTCATCAATCACAATGAGTTTCTCCTTCAAGAACAATACAGGGTGATAATTCAACAAAGTAAATTATATTTCTAACATTTCAAAAACGTAAATAATATTTCAAACATAAACAAAAACTTGCATCTCGAAAACGAACCTTCAAAACATACATGATTTTTTTTTATTATTGT